GGATGAGGGTAAAATTTAAAATACTAACTTTGCATTCATTATTTGAATTTTATATTTCCTACAAGTATTGTGAAAACAATGTTAAATAAAATTAATAATAAAATAATTTAAAAAAATTACAAAGTACAACGCACTTACCATTTAACAGTCGCAAATATCTTTATCTATATATATATATATATATATATATGCCCCATATTTCCCCTAATGTTAACCTATATTTTCTTTACCTTTAAATTAACATAAATTTATTAATTTTTCACTATCTAAAAAATTCAAGTTACTATCAATACATTGGTTGATAGATTGAAAACAAACATTAAATCTATTCAATGTCATTATAGTTAACAATTTTAACATAATGTTATATATTTATTTTTTGATAATCAAGTCAAAAAATACATTTACAAATTAGTTGGTAGAATCAGAACCGTCAGAAACCGTCAATACACACATTAAATAGAAAGTACCCTTAATTCTTGCAGATTACCCTAGTTAATCTGCTGATTTGTTAAGTAAATATGTATATTAAGAGTTTCCTTGCTTTAGCGGTTATATGTATTGTTGTTTTTATAGGACTTTTTGGAATTGAAAACCAAGACTCAAATACAGCAAGAATTGTTTCTCGTTATTCTTTGAGAGGAAGATTTGGAAATTATAGTCTTACACTACAAGCTCAAGATTCGGGGAATCCCCCTCTGCTCACTACTGCTCGATTTCAAGTTTGTGTTACTGATGTTAATGATAATAGTCCTGTCTTTGTGAAACCACCTCAAAATTATACGATTCGTGTCCTGGAGGTCAGTCTTTAGATATTCATACGTAATAATTTCATTTTACAGGCTTGATTCAACAATATGCATATTATATACTATGTTTTTTTGACAATTTTAAATATTTTTAATTTTAATATTTTTTAAACTATTAAAATGAATTTAATTAATTTTTTATGATCCAAATTAAAATTTTTTCATAAACAAACTGTGATATTATATGATAATATGAAAAATATGAAATTTTATAGGCAATATTAAACATTGAAATATATTGACTATTTTATTGAGAATATTATCTATTTAATAGATCACTTTTTTTTTACAAATTATGTAATTTATAAATTCTATATATTTTTTTTCAAGAATGCAACTCTTGGAAGTAGTGTAGTTGAAGTGAGTGCAAGAGATGCAGATATTGGTCTAAATGGTGAAGTTAGATACAGATTCAAGAAACTGGCAAATAATCATTGGAAAGCTTTTAATATCCATGAAATTTCAGGTGTGATTACTGTCAAGGAACCCCTTGACCGAGAAAGACAAAAGGTGTATGAGGTAGGTCTTTAAACTACATTTGCTATTTTAGCTACACTTCATTAATCAAATTATTTAAAGTAATTTAAAATTTATTTAATTTTTGCAAATTATTAAATGTATTTTATAAGTTAACTCAGAAATCAAAATGATTATTTTGAATGAAATTCATAATTTCAGATTGTGTCTCTGCCACAAAGATTCTCAAATTTCTTTCCAGTCAAGGAGCATCTTTGAAATTGGAAATTAAACACAGGCATTACAACTTATCTGTATTTGGGGCAATTAGTAAATTTACCAGTGGTCTGAAAAACTACCTTTCTTGTAGCTAACCCTACTCTTATAACTTGTTTGGCATTGCCTTTTTGACATGAATAACAGTTCTGAAACTGATATATTAAATGCGGACTTGTTTTGTTATGCAGTCAATATTTTACCTGAACAGTAACAAACAATTAATACTCAATTTTACTTTTTAACACATTTTTAAATTTTCAATGTGTCTTACCTCTTTGAGAAGCAATGAGAAATGCTTTGTGGTGCACTAAAAATTTCTTGGAGCACAGTTTAAGATCCTCTGTTTTGCATTATTATTTTTTAATTTTTAGATTAAAACTAATATATTTAAAAGAAATTTGATTAATTAGTACTTACTGAAAGGAGACAAATTGTTATACATTTAAATGTTTGAAAAAGTTATATAACATTCTTCTTCAACAATAAAGGTCCAATAATAAATTTTTATTCATTTTAGGTTCGAGTTGAAGCTTACGATTTGGGACAGCCCACATCTTTGTCAACAGATCTTGATTTAACGATATTTATCGTGAATGTGGATGATAATGCTCCAGAATTTACTGAAGATAATGTAAGTTTGATTGTAGAAGCATTTCATTTTAAAACAATATAGGAAATTAATAAAAAATAAATACTTTTTTTCAAAATAAAATAATAAAAAATTTATACTGTTATGAATTTTAAGAATTGCTTATTATTTTAAGAACTAAACCTTTGGTATATTTATTTTTTTCTATTCTTTTTCAACATCTCTTTTTTTATCCTTGGTTTACTGAATAAGAGAATCAAAACTATTTTTCTTAACTCTATTTTATCTCCCAAAAGGCAATTTACTGTCAATTAAATGTGTTCATGTTTTAAATACATTTTGCTCTCTTGTGTGGAAAATTTAATTAAAAACCTTTCCAGCTTTAAAAAATATTACATTTTGTATAGTGTTTATGTGTAAGATGAACAAATGCTTTAATTGCACCACAATTTTGGTTCCTGAAAGCATATTTTCTAATTGTATGATTATATTCTGTGTATTTAAATAGGTATTTATGTATATAAAAATTAAATGCTATAATATTTTTATTTTGTTTTTTAATAATTAAATTAAACTTCAAGTGGGTATGATACTTCTTTATACAAATATTTCTCTAGAATTCTTAATGTATTATAAATTCAATCATTCATTTAAATTGAGATCAGTCTATATAGTAAATTATAGTTGATAGGAAAATTGTATTTCTGATAACTTTGACTTTAAAAACAATATTTTTTACTTTTCTCTTGTGTTTTATGCTGCTTTTAAATATATTTCTCACTCTCACTTAACTTCGCACTTCTTAAATCAAACTTAAGCTCATTTAAATCATTTTGTGCCATGAAGTTATATTATATCTATCATAATTCTGTTAATTTAATTTGTGAAGGGATTACGGTATAAGTACTATCCTGGTAATTTCAGTTCTCCTAAATTTTTTCTTCTTAAGACAGAATTACTCCAATTTTACGATATTTTATATTGTTTCTTTTTCAAACTTAGAAAAAAATTTCTTTAAAAAAAGTTTTATGGAATTTGGAAGGGTTTTCTTTTTTCTTTTTTTTTTTCGTCATTTGTATTTAAATACTATATAATCGCAGTTATCCTTTTTGCAGTTTCATTTAAATAAATTGCTCAAAGATTAAAATTGTTCTATTTTCTATTTTGTTTAGTATGAAGTTATTTTTACTGAGAACTTAGAAGCCGGAAAGGAAAGTTTCAAACTTATTGCAACAGTCGACAAAGATGATGATACAGGATCTAGAAAGCCTATACCCTGTTATTTCATTGTTGGTATGTATTTATTTTTGTAAACTGAAAATTAAATCCTTAATGTAAAAATTTTAAAAAAATCTTTACTTTTAATATTATTATTTCATTATATATATAGTATTTATTAATGCAAGTATAGAATATTTTTACAATTAAATCAAAATCAAAATTTCATCTGTAAAATGTACGTTATATTCTAAACTTCTTCATATTTTCTAATTATGCTGAAAATTAATGTTCCATTTGTGCATTTAATATACATTTCTCTTGAAATGTGCTTATTTGACATAATCCTTACAAAATGCACTTAATCCTTTTGCTGTTGAGCTAAACTTTCCTCATCCAACTTTGGCCAAGTCCCATTTTTCAGGGATTTAACAGCTATGGTAGAAATGCCACTTAATTTTGACCTCAAACAGACAACGTGGGCGTTATGGTAATATTCTCTCCAAACTTGCACACCAATATGCTGTGATAGATTCAATGTACACTTTGCTGTGCATACATCCTGATTGTTTAGTTGATGGCCAAGATCGAACTGTCAACCCCAAGTTCTTCATTAGAAATGTAATCAATGCCTTGTCCATAGAAGTATTTACTTTCAAACTACCTACATGGTCAGATTTGTACGAATATTCTCCATTGTTTCTCTCTAAAGTACATCGTAAAAAAAAATAATTAAAATTGATATTGGATTGTTTTATTAATAAGTCCCACTATTCTACTAAAACTTTCATTCATAATTCAAATTCATGAGACATAAAATATTTTTTCACTACTTGTTACCTTGTTTAAATTAAAGTTTTGAATTATACTTTTCTTTTTATTTTATAATACAAATTTAGCAATATGGGGCTTTGCATTATATGGAATTTTGTGTTAAATGGATTATTTCACATATCATTTTACCTACTAAACATAGCTATATGTATCAGGAGCAGATCAATATTAATGCTTAGAAATAAAAATAGCTTTAAAAACAAAAATATGCACAGTATTCATTATTTACAGAGACAAAATTGAATTATTTATTGTATTAAAATTAAAAACTGACAAATTTATCAATTTTGGTTTGATTTAGAGATTTTAAAGTTACGACGAAGTTAATGTGGTTTATAGAATTGCACTAAATAGATCTTCTGCTTTATAATAAACTGTTGTCTTCTGTTGACATTCTCTGATCTCCATGCAAATCAATGTTTTTTAATTAAAACAATGCATTTTTTTCTTGCAGGTGGTAATTATTTTGGCCGTTTCAAATTGGATATTTTCACACACCAACTGTATGCCACTGAAGTTCTTGACAGAGAAGAGAGACAAAATTATACCCTCATTGTTCAGGCTTCTGATGATTGCTTCCACCAGCCATCACCCATCCAGCATTTCGACCCCAGGGACAATTCACTGCTGCAGGTGCACATTGGTGTTAGAGATATCAACGATAATCCACCCAGGTTCATAAAGAGAGTGTTTACTGGAGGAATAACAGCAGAAACTGATTTCGGAACTGCATTTATGATTGTCAAGGTATGCGACAATTATAAACTCAGTTTTTTTCTGAGATACCTACTTCAAATATTTTCTCTCTTGGTGCAATGTTTTATGACCTGTAAAATGTTGAAACATGTTTTTATTTCTTTTTTATCTAAAAGATGTAAAAAAAATAACAATAATAAGTATGAAATTTAAAAAGTCAACAANGCCTGGGCGACAGAGCCAGACTCCGTCTAAAAAAAAAAAAAATAATAATAAATAAATTAATAATAAAGTAGAATAAATAGAAAAAATAAAATAATTTGAATGTGACTTCTGTAGTCTTAAATATGTACTTGGCTACATTCATATAAAAATGATTGTATAAAATAAAAATTAGATATGCATTGTTTATTTTAATTAAATAATTGCTTTTTAATATTTATGAGAGATTTAATTACACTTTTTAAATGTGATACAACTGAGAAATCTGTTTAAATTTCTATAAATTAAATATCCATAGCTTTGTTATTTGAGTTGAGGATAACTTAAAGCAATTTTAACATTCTAGCCAACTGTGAAAGCTTTAACATTGGATGTTTTTTCTTTTGCCCAAAATTTAATAAGCTAATTTTTTTTTTCGTCATTTAAAATACAAAAAAATATTTGTCGGATTGAAAAAAAAAATTTTAATATTGTTTTATTTCATGGCCAAGACTTTAGGAACATAAATAAAACTAATAATTTTCCAGAAAAAAAATTTTTCTTCTCTTTTTTTTGTTACTATACTTTTTATAAGTGAAGTTTAAAATTATTTCAAAAGTAAAAATATTTTTAAAAAACTCAACGGTGAGCTTTCTTCTCTGGACACAGCTCAAAATATGTGTTAAAGAAAATGGACACAGCAAAAAATGTGGTGCCTTTTCATTGTTCAAATCAAATGTAAAGAACTAAATGAGGAATCCCAGACACCTTGTTAGGAGTAGCTGGCTAACTTTTCAGATCTTCTAATATTCAGAATACTAAACAATAAAGTGGTTTTTAAAACTCTAAATTCATACAACGTAAATCTATTACCAGTTTTATAAATTTATAGGACTCGTAACAACTTTGCAAAAACAACTGTTAACTTTTACAGTTTTTCAAAAAAAGACTACTAGTTTAAAAATTTGTACTAAGTGATGTAGGTAAATGAATGATGTCAGATTACGAATTTATTTAGACCTATTAATTTATTGTTTAAAGCGAGAAACAATTTTCATAAGAGAAATTTGAAAAATGGAGTTTAATGCTATGTACATTCTTCTTAAATACCATTTTAAAGCCATGTCCATTTTCCACCTGGAATGTAAAGCTCACCGATTAACTGGTTGTTTCTAAATCCGTTGTCAAAAAATTATAGTTCTGAAAAATTTTGTAAATTTTTCTACAAAATAAAGTGAAACATGCATTATGTTCATTTTAAAAAGTTTGAATTGTTAGTTATCTTTTTTTTACTGGTGAATGAAAAAATAAATGTACTTATAGTACATACAAATTTTTGTATTCTGTAAAATATTTTGACAATGTTACTTTACTCAATTAAAATAACTGTTATTTACTTTTAAGAGCAATTAGCCTCTTTTTGATAATAAAATAAATAAATAAAAGCCATTTTTTAAAAAAAGCACTAATAATTTCTGATTAGTTAAATTTCCAATTACTCAATATTTTTATAGCTTTTAATGCTGTTTTAAGTTATCATAGTTTCTTTATCGATGTATTTTACTTGTTAAAAGTTATTACTAAAATAATATTCAGAAATATATATATTTTTATGATTTTTAAACAAATGTGTATATAATGCAGGGATTTCTAAATTAACATTTATTTAAACTCATTGTTTTAAGCTTCAACATTGTTTTATTTTATTCATTCATAGGCTGTAGACATGGACATAGGCAAGAACTCTCTTATTAGCTATTATATATCTGGAAAAGTACAAATGACTTTATCAGAGGGTTTGGAAGCTTTAAAAGTTTCTCCTTTCATCATTAATAAAGACACTGGAGTGATTAGTCTGAATTTTGATCCACAAAAGGGCATGAAAGGCTATTTTGATTTCGAAATAATAGCAAATGACACAGATGGGCTTTTCGACACGGCCAGAGTTTTTGTAAGTAATTTCATTTATCTGTGTAATTTTTTTGTATCATAGCACTGATAATGAAAGTATATCTAATAGTAATTTTTATGCACTTGTTTGTTTGTTTTTTTTTTAAATCTAAATTATCTTGAAATACTAATTGCTCTTGAGCACTGAAAATTATTAAATGACAGTTGTATGCAAATAAAATACTTAACTTACTATATTTTAGTATAAAAAAAATAAGTTTATCATTTAAGTAATAGATTGTTTTTTATTTCAGGCTGTTTGAAATAATACCGAAACAATTGATAAAAGCAATCAAAAATCATTTTAAAATATTCAAAAATAAAAATATGTTATTTAGTAAAAACATTTTATGCAACCAATGAGAAACATATTTAGCTAAAAGAAGCTATTTTTTCCAATTATTACAATAACAAATAGAAAATTAAAATTCTGCATTTATTTATTTTTTTAAATATTTATTTATTTTTATGATATTGAAAATTTTACAATATTGAAGCATAAAATATTATAAGTTTTACGGTATAAATAAAAATTCTTAAAGTCATAATATTCTACAATTTATTCAACTGAAAACATGAAAGATGTTTGTACTATATCAAGAATGAGGCGCTGTATAACAAGCAAGTGTAACAACCATTAGTGTGCAGAGTTTTAGCTCATTCTTTAATTAAATGCTCTTAAATGACTAAAAGAGGCAAAATATTTTTTTGTAAAAAAATTTATTTGATAAAAATTTTATAGATATTTTAAATTAACTACTCCTGTAAATACAAGTGAAAATTATTCTATGGTTAATTATTTTTAGCTGTAGATTTACATACCTGGGGCTATTGCTGCCTTACATATTATTGTCAAAAACGTTTTACTTTGATCTGTGAAGAATAAACTTTATTCTTTAAGTTTCTGATGATCTTTTAATTTTGAAGGAAGTAATAGAATCACAAAATATTCCTCTTTGAGTAAATTCTTTTTTGGAAAATATGATTAAAGATTCATGGAATTTTACTTTTTAATTCAATTGTGACTTAAAAAAGGAAATAAATATGCTATTTCTTAATGCCAAATATTTTTTTAAACAGATTTACTTGTTAAGAGAAGACCAAAGGGTGAGATTTGTGCTTAGACTCACGCCTGAGGAAATAAGAGAAAAACTTGAAAAATTCAGAGAGTAAGTCAAATGTAGATATTTCTCTTATACTGACATAAATAACCTAATTCTTGTTTTCAACTTGTTTTTTTTTCTCCCACAGAGTACTGAGTAATATCACAGGAGCAATTGTTAATGTTGATGAAACCAAATATCATGAGAACAAAGATGGATCCGTTGATAAGAAAAAGTAAGTTACGTGGATGTAATAGTTCATGTCATGTAATTTATAATTTGTTGTGTATACCATTAATTAAATTCTTATAATTTTTAATTATTTTTTTAGGAGTGATTTGTATCTCCATTTTGTAAATAGAGAAGATAATTCCATAATGGAAGTAGCAACAGTATTATCGTACGTATAAATTATTTGTGCTATTTGTAAAATTATAAATTGTTTGGTTTCTATGCTGACAGAATTTTTCTGTAACAGTTGAGTAAAAGCTACTATTTTTTTCTTTTTTTCAGATTGATTGACAAAAATATAGAGTTTTTGGATGAACTGTTCAAAGAATTCAATGTGCTGTACAGTGAGGTTGGTTTATTTTTCTTATTTTTTGTATTTTAATCAGTTATGCATTTTTTTATATTCATAACTTAGGTACATTCATACTGCGTTATAAAGACAATTTACAATGGCAGATGAAATTGTCATACAATGTGCCAGTACTTTAAATAACATATTACTGGTTTTCACTTTGTAATATTAACTTTTTTTATTAAAAAGTTTTAGTATAATATTTTTTATTAAAAAGTTTTAGTACTTTTCAAAGAATTCAATGTGTTGTACAGTGAGGTTGGTTTATTTATCTTATTTTTTTTATTCTAATCAGTTACGCAATTTTTTATATTCATAACTTAGGGGCATTCAAACTGTGCTATAAAGAGAATTTACATTGACCAATAGAATTGTCATACAATGTTCCAGTACTTTCAGGAACATATTATTAATTTTCACTTTATAATATTAACTTTTTTTATTAAAAAGTTTTCGTAGAATCCACTAGTAAAAGTAACAAATTGAAAGCTAACTTCTCAGACATGCTAAATTAGAAAGCAATTGTACTATATAAAGACAATTAACCAGTTTTTGTCCAGCATCATTTTTATAGGACAGTTTTTTTCAAAAATATATATTGTGGTAGAACAATTGTTTTAGTTTTGTCATTTATCTAGAATAATGAAAAGATTCTCACACGTTATAATTTTTTTAATGATTTTGGTTTCTATGACTTGATCTAGAACTATAATGAGCTGGCACTTTTTGAAACTAAATGGTGGTTAACAGTAGAAAATAGCCATTTAGTTTTACATCATATATTATGCCTCTTTTTTCATAAATCCACTCAATCTAAAACTCAAAAACCAATTTCAATGTAAAAAGGTGGGATCGGATTAATCAATTTGTAAATTTGTCATTTCTACCCCTATGTTTCTTTTTTTTTAAAGCAGTTGTTATGAAAATAAATGTTTCTAGGTCAAAACTGTCATTATTAAAATAAATTTCATAACTGATTCTGGGAATATTGGTTTATTAAGATAAAAACAATCATTCAATACGGAAATTTTTTTAATTGTTTTTAAGCAGTTGACTGTTTTAGTTTTATTATTAAGTAATTCATAAATGTGTAAGCTCCTGTATATTATAAATTTACTTTTGGAAAGAAAAAGTAAGAAAAAAACTTTTTCAGTTTGACTTGATTGTTTAATATCAAATATAAATTTGCAATATTAAAATTACTATATGGTCAAATTTTAATTGCAATTTATTTTTCAGCCTGCTGACACTGCAATTGTAATTAATAATGCTGAAGTGCAAGTAAGAGCCTGGCTTATTGGTCTTTCAATATTCCTTGCTATAATGCTTGTTTTGGTCATTTCACTCTGTATCACACAAAGAAGCAGGTAAATAGCAAAATAATTGTAATAAATCATTCTTAATATTTAAGTTCTTCTCTTCACTCTTAGATTCAATTCAATTTTGAAACATTTTTTGCACATTTTTTCACTTTGTACAAATTTATAAATGAAAAAATAGTAGGTCGTCGTTCATCAGTTAACAGAAGTCAATGCGAAAAGTAGCCAATTTTTAAAAAATAGAATTTATTTAGATTATCAAAGAAAATTTGATATCTGCTTTATTAATTCTTAATGTTTAAATAATATTATTGCTCATAAAAATAAATATTTTCAAAAAAAAATTATTTAGGTTATCAAAGAAAATATGTATTTACTATATTGATACATAAATGTTTAAGTAATGTTCTTGCTCATTAAAATGAATTTTTCAACTAGATTTATCATTTTCAAAAAAAAAAAATTTTAGGTTTCCAAAGGAAACGTGTATTTACTGTATTGATACATAAATGTTTAAATATTGTTATTGCTCATAAAAATAAAATAAATGTTTTTATCTAGATTATTTTTGAAATAAATAATTAGCTTTTATTTAATCGAGGTGAAATTAAGTTTTTTTTTTATCGTTAGGTATGAAAGGAAATTAAAAGCTGCAACTGCCACCGCATTTGGTAAGCATTAAATATTTTTCTTTGTTCATCATTAATGTAGTTGTAGTACCTGTAATATGTATTGTTTAATTAAGGTTGTATTCACTGTAGTCTGAAGTATGCACAAACTTAACATTAACATTTTCTATAAGAGAAATGCGTTGTGATTAGCTTTTTAGAAATCTTGCAAAATATTAAGCAATAATCAGTTATCCAAAACACAATAATGTTTCATGATTTAAATAAAGTTAGTTTGCTTCTTTTATGTTTTTTTGAATATACTCTATTATGAGTCATGAAGTCGAAAATAAAAATGTGATTTTCAATTTGTTCATATTGCTCATAAAATAAATGCAGCATCTCCTATTTTGCATCTTTGGAAAAAAAATATCATAAAGAAAAATATAACTTACTTTTAGCATCTATAATTATTGACTTGATTAATAGATCAGTAATACAGGGTGCATAGCGTTTTCAAAGGTGCTTATTTCCGATTTTCGTTTTTTGAAAGCCCTTAAAGGTGCTTTTTTCATTGGGTGTTTCTAAAAAGTGCTTAATGTTCCCTTTTTCAAAATGAGATTCTTCATTTACCATGATGATTTTCGCTAGGAATTATGCAAAAAGGCACAGTTCACATTGTTCTATTCAACGTTTTCACAATTAATTCATCCCCAATCTATATTGGCGTATTGTCTCACTGTATAGCGTATAAAAACGCCATTCGTTTTACATGTTTCAAAATTTCATGATTTTCACAATTGTCAAAAACAATGCCAAAAAAATTTTATTTTTTTTTGGCATGACGGTTAAAACAAGATAAAACCGTCAATTATCAAAAACTTTCCAACCCTGCCTAGTTATGATATTTTTTAAAACTGCTTAAAAATATTTTTTGAGTGCTTGAAAAGTACTTAAAAGGTGCTTATTTGGCTATGCACCCTGTAATACTCTTTTGTTCAAATCGAAAAGTAAAGTAAGAACAGTCAATGCAAATATATATAGATATATATGCAAGCTAGTCTTTTAATGTTTTAATGTTACTGCAAATATAATACATACAAGGGGTCGACGAAATAATGGAAACATTTCTATACTAATACATTTTTTCATCTTTCGCAAGAAATACTAAAATAATCATTTTATAACTTCAGACATGCTTAGATCATGCGATTTTCTCATACATATAAATGAGCTTTAAAGCTTTTAGAGGTTTAAGAGACCAACAATAAATTACAAACCGAAAATAATGTTTTTGAACACCCCATGCCAAAAATGCAGCAATAGGTTTGTAACTTGTAACAATTATTTTGGTTGTTATAAGCAACAATGACACAAAATTTCGTAATCCTAGCTTAAATATTTATGGAGGTATGGACATTTTTATAAAAATAACTAATTTTTTTGTCTTGCTATAACTTTAAAACTATTCAAATATATAAAAATTTAAAACTATTCAAATTTAAAAAAATTTCCCTTCTAGGTTCACAAGATTCTGCTCTTAATCGAATGGATGTTCCAAATACCAATCAACATTCCGTTGAAGGGTATGTTTACTCTTTAGTTATTAATTTTTATTCTTCTTCTTCATATAATTTTAAATTCATTCTTTTTATGTGTAAATAATGTTTGTAAGTACTACAATTAATTTTTCTGAAGTATTCTAAATTCATTATTTTTCTCTAAAATTAGAACTCCTTTACTTAGATTGTTTTGAAAGAATTACAGCACTTGAATATAATATTCTTTTCATACTTACTTAATGAATGAAAAAAATCTGTTTCACCTATGTGTGTACGCACTTTCCTAAAATCATGATTAAGCACCTAGCCCGTTTCAGGGCTCTATTTTTTAACTATCATTCTTAATCCCTGATATTCTAAATTCAACAATAATATCACATGAAATATATTGAATAATATCATTCCCACATTGAATAATAACATTCATGATATTCTATTCAACAATATAATAGAAATATCCATGTTATTTTAAATTCAACAGTATTTTTCTCTAAAATTTAAACTCCTTGACTTAGATTGTTATGAAAGAAATATAACATTCGAATATCACTTACATCCAATTCATACTTACCTAATGAATGAAAAATTCTATATTCAATTTTATGTGTGTACAGACATCCATCTATATTCCATCACATTGGGCCATGATAGAAATGCTTTGTAATTTTGACCCCATTCAGACAACTTGGACAATACCTGAGCTTGTGTCCCTCTATCCTTACTTCCACACCATAGCGAACGAGAGGACTTTCATCCTTGATAGATTTAACATGCACCTTCATGCGTATACACGCTGGTTGTTAAATCAGCTGCCAGATTGATACATTTTTTTTATGGAATTAAGTTTGGATAAATATATTCTATATTTGTGTGCAAAAGTTTTTCAATTTGTTTAAAATCGTCATGTGGTGACAAAATACGCAAAGAATAAAATTAACATTAAGGGTCTATACTTGCCACGACTCTCCTGACCAAACTATTGGGACCATATTTCCCATAATGCGACTACCTCCTTTAGATTGAAGATCAAGAATCCTAATCTATAGAAAAAGTGTGTTGTTTATTCAGAAAAAGTATGTTTTTGTATCTGAATTCGTAACTTTAAATATTGTCTGCGCTAATTAATTAGCATACCTGAGGTCATCCTCTCGAACCATTAAGAATTATTTCTAGTATGTGACAATCTAATTCTTAGATTAAAAGTTACTTAGGGTGTTTTTTTGTGCACAGTGCATTGTACAATATGAGTTTTCTTCGATATTAATTATAGTTCATCTTGTTAAATTAGTACATCAATCTTAAAATGCTTTTTTAAAAAATGCAATTTAATTTTTTTTTTTTTCATTTTAAGCTACATTTTTTTTAACAAACGCAATGTTAGAATATATTGTACTTTTATTTATGTATGTTTTCATAAAAAATAATTGTTGTAATAATTTACATTGTTACATTATTACAATTTATATTGTTACAATTTACATTGTTACATTATTACAATTTATATTGTTACATTATTACAATTTACATTGTTACATTATTACAATTTACATTGTTACATTATTGCAATTTACATTGTTACATTATTGCAATTTACATTATTACAATAATATTTTACATTGTGTGTATATTTTAGATCAAATCCAATATGGATGCATTCATATGATAATGAGTGGTACAAAGAGGATGAACAAATAAGGTGAATATTTTATTGATATGCAATCAAATAAGTTAAAATTCATCAATAATATCATAAATCATTTTTTAATCCTTAAAAAATTTACTGAATATTTCTAAGAATGATTGCTTTTAATTAAGGTTTATTTATTAGCTACACAAAAATAAATTATTTAAATTTTGAAAAATACTTTTGTTCAGTTTAAGTTATTTATATTAAATGAGAATCTACTTGCCGATTTGAGCAAATTTTTAAAATTAGTAATATATTGGTAAATTAATTAGTATTATCTTAATATTATGAAAATATTTATTCATTCGTGAAACATCTTGTTACATTATAAATAAATTTCAAATTTTGTTTGCTTATTTTTTTTTCTTTGCCATTAAATATCAAAATGTATCCTTAAATAACTATTATAAAACTTGTTTTATCCCATAAAGTTTTTCATCATAGCATCAAGTTCAACTATATTGTTAATCTTTAAGAAGTACTTAACTTTCAATTTAATGCTATTTGAACTCAATATTTAACTTTCATATTTAAAGCAAACCTGATGATTTTATCAAAAATGTGTTAATAACTATTTATATTTTTATTAATATTCACTGGTGTTTTGATAATAAGAAATTAAAAAAGTCTGTGACGATAATATATATATTTATTTATTAGAAAATCATAATATTCCTTATAAATCCAGTATTTTTATCTCCTAATTTAAGTTAGTCTAATAACTAAATCATTCTTTAATGAAAATTCTTTTAAATTAGTTCAGTTAATTAAAACATTTTCTTATGATTTTTTTTATTGTAATTAGTATTTTTAAAAATTATTTCCATTCATAAAACATATTGATGTTGTGAAAAATTAAATTTGCAGTATTTTTAATTGGCATGTTTATGCATTCTGAATATTCCTAAACACTGCAGACTTAGATAAAATGAAAAACTTTCTGCGTGTGTTGATTAACTCTTGTAACTAGTTTCAGTGTTGAAACTAATTACCTCATTTTGGTGAAATATATTTTAAAATCATGGATTTTTTTAAAAAATGTTTAATTTTTATAAAACTCTATATTGATTCATGTCACAGGGATGAGTTTGTTAAAGAACCCGAAAAAGCTGAAAATCGAAATTCAAGAAAGTTATGTGCAAAAACATTTTTTAAATTAGTGAAATTTGATCAAGAAAAAAGTGAATGTAGGGAGCATTTATCCACGGAATGTTTTAAGCGTTTTGATAAAAAATATCGATGCGAGTACTTTATTTATATATTTAAATTGTTTGAATATGAGTCTCAATGTGTGATTTTTAAATCACATGAATACGAACCTCGACATTTAGTTTTAAAATCGCATGAATACGAATCTCAATGTTTGATTTTAAAATTGCATGGAAACTAATCTTGATGTTTCATTTAAACATCACGTTAGTACGAATCTCAATATCTGATTTTGAAATCGCGTGAATGCGAATCTTAATAGTGGCTTTTAAATCACGTGAATACGAAACATGATATTGGATATAAAATCGTAAAAATACAAAGCACGGTGTGCGATCTTATGTCGTGTGAATAGAAATTGCGATGTGAGATTTTAAATTATGCTAGTGCAATTTTAAGTCGCATGTGGATTGTTAGGAAAAGAGTTTTTTCTCAGAAATTCGAAAAATACTAACTTTCTTTTTTTTTCATTCTTTTTTAGTTAATAGTAAAAAAGTTTCCGCCATTGTGACAAATTTTCCGAGAACGCCATTTGTGTATATTGTACAGGGCTGCTAAACTGCATCAAAATTGTTTTATATTTTGTAGAAACATTATTGCCAATCTTTTAATTTGTTTATTTTATTTGTGAATGCTACAAATCTCTTACATTTAAACATCTTTTTAGCCATAATTCAGGAGATAACAACTCTTTGGATGAAAATGCTATCTCTGAAATAGGTCCTCCTTTAGAACACAAAGCTGGGCTACGCAATCAGCAAATGTCTCCAGTTAACAATGAAAACAATTATGCTATACCCACCAAAAATGGAATGCGCAGGCCGGCTCCTCGCCATCCCAACTATGGCGGCACAAACATTCCACCAGCCAAGTTAATTGCACCCATGCACCACAATAACAAACAGCACAAAAACGGCAGCCATATCATAGACTCAGATGACACCAGCTCGGGATTACTGTCGCATGACTCGCTGGATACAAAAAGGCAAAATGACCTTAACAAATGCAATGCTGTCTACAGCTATGAACAAATCCCGAAGTTGATAACACCACCACACATCACAAATTTAGAAACATCAGAACTTTGATAGTTTTACTTATGTGATGTTTTCATCCATATTGTACTGTATTTATTTTGAACTTAAGAAAAAGTATTATTCTTTCATAAGTAAATCATACAGTGAAACCTGCGTGTAAGTTCACCTCTTAAGATTTACGAATTTGATGGTCCACTTAAAACCAGTGTCCAACATATGAGAAGGTAAGGTGACTTTTTTTACCAATTTGGTGTGTGATTAAATCAACTTAAACTGGTAATCAACTTACTATGGTGGTCAACTTAACACACTACACTGTAACATCATAATCATCATTTGTATTTTTCTACCTTGGCTTCATGGGGCTCGAACTTTCATGTACATAATTTACTGTGAGGTCCAGTTTTTGTATTTCATCTTCATAAGTTGTATTTACTATTTCTTGAAATATGTAACATGGCCTGTTTCTAAATATAGCATTGAGTGATATTTTACTGCCATTATCAATTAATGATTTGTTTACTAAAATTTTTAACACAACATTGTGGCATTATTAATCGTTAATTTTAGTTATTGGTTGCTTTGCATTTTTTTAAATGTCACAATTTCATTTTTTGTATTAAATTACATAAAAAGTTTGAAATATAAAACTGTTTTTTAACTGTATATTTTTGCTTTATATATAATTAAAAATTAGTATGAGTAAATATATTCCATTTTATAAAAACTATTTGATTTTGTTTTTGATTCTTACAATTTTAATATGATTTCATTTTACAGTTTTATTTACAAGCTTATTGTTAAATAAATGTACTGTAAATTAAATTTATATGATATTTTTATTTGAGTTAATAATTGCTAAATGTAAATATTTAAGAAATTTATAACTGCCATTATTGGAGTAAAATAATACTTAATTTTAAAAAATGGAAAAATGGACTAAAATGCCTTTTATAAAATGTCCTTTCAATTCAATCATCAGTAATGGTGAAATTTTCAATACCTTTTTTCCCACTGGAAATGTATAATCTTATATCATTTATTATAGATTTAATATTTCATACTTTAAAATAAAAATAAATTTTGCTACATATTTCACTTTATTTTTTACCATATTTTTATTTACATATAATCTGCATATTTATGAATATTCTAAGACTTTATCTACAAGTCTTTCAATTTTTATTTTTGTAAATATTTCCATTTCAGAAAATATATTACAAGACAATTATTGTTATTTTAAATTAGGTTATTTTCAACAATTTAATAAAATTAATCTAATAAATCTAACTATAATGTAATAATAAAAATCGATTGGTTTTTATCAAATAATATCAAAATAAAAATGTCATTTATTTGTATTCAAACATCTATTTATTTTGTATTTTTAAATTTTTGTAACCATTTCACTATTGATATAACTATACAAAATCTTACACATATTTTAATCAATTTTATAATTAAAAAAAGATGTTTCAAACAAATGGATAAACATCAAATTACAAATTTAATCTACCAGTAAATAAACTTTGAAAAGTTTTGGTGTCATTTATTTATAATTTATGCCAATACTTTTAATCTAATAAAACTTCATGTAGTTATACAACATTTACTGATGTGTGATAAAATCATCCTTAACATAATTTACGTTAATTTGTATGTAATACATTTCTATATATTGCTTTATAATAAAATATTTTATTAGTTTTTTGTCATGAATGTTTTCATTTTAAAAATTAAGACCTTAGTGGAAAATATGCTGTATAACATATTGAAAACCCTAAAAATTCTTATTTCTAAAACACATTTTGGTCAATTAATATATATAGTTTATTACTATATCCTGTTTGTGTTCAAATAATTAAATGTGTATTGTAAACAGATTCTCGGTGTTTCTATGCCGTCTCAAACTAATTTTCTGATATTTACTAAAGTTATGTCTTCTCTAAGCTCATTAATTATATAAAATTTTTGACATTATTCCTGACATAGCTCATCTTATTGTGATGCTTAAAGTAAACTTAATAAAATGATAAATATTAAATTATGGATTGCTCAAAAAAATCCTGATTACATAACTTTGAATGATTGGAATTTCCGAATGTCTTTTTAGAGCAGAAAATTTTTAAAGCAACAAATATTTTAATTACACTAATTTCGCTCTATTTATTTTTATATGGTTATTTACTATTTTGCTTGTTTTGCTCAAAGTTGTTCAATAATAACATTTTAAAAAACAAAAATAAGTACCTATATTTCAAAGATAATTAGGAGGGCATTGTGTTTGTTGTGCAAATGTCGGCAAAATAATTACAAATAAACTAATTAAACTTAGTCTAGAACTTAACACTCGACTCCTACCATATTCTTTATCATATAAATTGTTATTTTATTTCAAACAAATACTAACCTGAATAAAAAGATCTTTACTCAATAGAAATAAATTTTAAACTTCTTTTGATCAATTTAATATTTTAAGTCATTGTCTCCTTCAAATAAAAATATATTGTGACTTTTTATATTATTTACTGATCCTATTTAACTATAATCAATATTAATACATAAATAAACTATTTTCAATATTTATTAAATTACCTGTGGACAAAAAAAATTTTTTACTAATTTCCCCCACACATTCATATATGTATGAAGAGAAATTTTTGGGGAAATGTAACAATTTTCAATTATTATATACTATTGGTTATAATAATATTATTATTTACTTTACTATTAACTACATTAAATTTTACTCAGATAATTTGAATAATAAAAAGTCTTATTGAAGAAAAAAATCTAAAACTTTTTTTAAGTACGATAATTTAATTACTGAATTTTTCGATTATATTGCTTATTTACAAATTTAGCAAAATGATTTTATTTGCAAAAATCAAATTTAATGACTCAATAGATGACGCCACTAAAGCGAAATTATATTGCTATAGTCATTATTTTGTAATAATTTTTTGATTAAAAAGTGTTTCTAGTGTCGCCATCTACTATTTAGTTCCGTTTACATATAATGTATATAAATAATAGATAAAATGTTCACTAGATGGCAGCATTATAAAATAACAAAAAAAAAATTTATTAAACTTTTTGATACAACCGCTTACTGATCTTTTTAGCTGCAATATAAGTAATGTTTTGGTTCGAAAACTCAGCAGTATTGGCCCCTCCTCCCACCCGTTGGTAGAAATGTACCTTATTATAAAAAATAATTTACTTTTACTGGTAGTTTCTATCAGATGAATTATCAATTTATCTGAATCGAGCATTTACGCGGAGATGATCGTTTCAACTGTTCATAGAAACAAGCGAAGTACAAAGATTCGGTGTAAAAAAAATTGTACATAAAATTTGCAAATCAGTTAAAATATTTTTATAATGATAAGCATTATAAAAAGTTCAGTATAAAGTTGATTTTAAAACATGGTGGCTTTAATTAAAAATGCTACAATTAGCGTTTAATGTTATTCATACCATGTTAACATTTATATTCATATTACTCGAAGAAAAATTAAAACTTAATTTATCAGGAATTTATTTGATCACCCATTCAATTGTTCTTGGTAGCATTGAATTTCTAAGAGTTTTTTTTACGGATCGTTGGGTTCATTTAAGACTATTTTTGCTGATATTATCTTAAATTGATACGTTCTGATTTCGCCTGAATATAAACTAACGACCACGCATTTTTTAACAGATACGACTAGCAATTTTGCAAACGGAGAGATCTCCCCGATCAGTCGGCAAAATGTTAAAAACTGGCATAAGTATGGCAGAAAATTTTAAACATGAAAATGCAACCTCAACTAAAGAAATGTAAAAAAAGAAATGTCCATTAAACTAGACTATTAGTTCTCCACAATAATCAGATTTAAAACATTTTCCTAGCTACCTTACAACGCGACAGTAGTGGATTATTCTGCATTTGTTGTAATAAAATTCTCAAGTTAACTTTAACCAAATATTCAACTGTAAAAGATGCTGTCTTTATGTTAATGTTCTGAGTTTTCAGTCATTTAATATTGCATGCCTGAAATAAATTGTATTGCTAGTACTGTTTCATAATTCTTACTCACCAAGCCAAATTTAAGTCTAATAAGTTTTTTCATAATTTGAAACTTCTCTTTTCTCTGCAACAGTTGGATAAAAAAAAATTTAAATTCATGAACTAATATTTAGTTAATAGTCATTCGCTTTGTGTTCTTGAGACTCAATACGACTAGTATTGTTCTGGAAATTTTTACTACAAATATGTTTTAAACCTTTACACCTTTGGACTTTAAATAACTTCACGAGACCCCAATCACAATGTCTGCTGTTTAATCCTCACTAAATACATATGTTCATGTAACATAATTAATAATTATTTATCTAAGATGTATCTTTTATAAAATAGAAATTGTGAGAATGCAAACATAGTCTATAAAAACTCATACTTAAAAACCTTTTAAGTGCTTCATTTTTAATCAATAAGGTGATATTTAATAGCAAAAGAAAAAAAAATTTAAAAAATAGCCATCCTTTCACTCATAAGTATTTTGGTTAAAGTAAAGCACTTTGAAAACTTCAGCTTTAGGTAGTACAGTAGAGAACCGATTATCCGGAACGATCGGGACTATCGCTATTCCGGATAACTGATTTTTCCGGTTTTCTGAATCGCTACAAAAAGCCGTTTTTTTAGTGTTAAACCTAACTAAAAAAAAAATATTTGGAAATAATCATTAAAATAAGAAAAAACGATGAGGTAATACACTAATGATTATTTCTGAAATGATGGTAAGGTAAACATCTTTCAAAAAAGAAAGAAAAATCGTAAAATCTTATGAGGAAAAAAAAAAAATTTTTAAAAATTGCGGAAAAATTTACCGAATTTTTTTCCGGTTTTTTGGTTTTCCGGATAACGGGTTCTGTACTGTATTAAATAAGATAAATACCATTTTGGAAAATTTAAACTTTACAACACATACATTACTTTGATAAGTCTAGAATGAGTAAAAAGAGCAATAATAGAAGACAAATTTGTAAATTTCAATATTTTTTATTTGTTTTTTTTTTATAAAATATAAAACACATACAAAAAGTTGTTCATCCAATAACACATACAAGCACATATTTCCAAGCATATTTTTAAGCCAACTTAAACAAAATACAGAAGAAATGTACTGCAATAACATTTCACATGCAACACTCAGAACTTTGGTTTCAAAAATTGGATAACTAATCTACTACTGAACAATACCTGAAAAATCTACAGTACATACTTTCCATTTCTTGCCTAAACTAATTATAGATAATGGAACGAAATTGAAAAATATCTAGGAATGAATAATCACAAAATTTAATTAGAATAGATTGAATTATTTAGTCACAATTAATGCATATGTGTATGTATTAAATTATTTAACAATGCATAGGTATCGGATAAATTTCAATCCCTGAAATTCATTGTAAAGCTAAAACAAGAGATCATACTGACTAGCATATTTAAATTTTGACTTAAATTTTTAGCCTTGAGATAAAATACTATCTATTACAGTTAAACTTGTTAAGTTGACCACCTCTCTATGATGATCACTTGATAAGTTGACCCCCTTTGCATGCTGATCACCCTTCGATCTTAATGACCGAGTATCCGACTGATAAAAACGGACATATCTTAATATGTTGACCGCTCGATTAAGTGGATCATCAAATCATTCCCCAAAATGGTCAACTTACACAAGTTCCCCTGCATTCAACTGAGAAAATTTGTTTTACATAAATTAATAAACAAATTGAAATCACAGAATACTAATAAAAAATGCCTCAATGTGTTACTTGTAATGTGAAAAATGAAAGAGTATGAACACAGAACTAGCAAAAGCACACATTTTAAAATAGATGCCCATATTATAACTGGAACATGCATATATATGGACAGAGAGAAGGTATTTTATGTTGTAGTGCAAACTACATTCTATGTGCAAGAAATATTTTGATATTAAAATACAATTTGATTTTCATAGGAATTCTTTCAAGTAAGTAGGATCTTAATTGTTTCAACCACTATTATTATAGCAGTCTGTCAACATAAACTCCGTCAACCTACTTTTTTTTCTTTTTTAACATAATTGCCATAATACATTAAGCTCATAATGTATAATAGAATTTGTCTTTAAACAAATTTGTTGTATGTTAACTAGATTAGTAAATTCACAAATTTAACATTAATGAATTTAAGACAGTTTTAAATGAAAAAATAGAGTCAAGCTTGACAAATGTTATTTGTCAAAAAAAATTTAATTGTAAAGATTTGATGAACTAGATTAAAACGGAAAATAATTGCTAAAATCAAATAGTTGTTGATAATAGTTGCAGAAAACTATTTCAATATAAACTATTTGCAGAATCGAATTTAATAAAATAGTGGTAGAAACAATATTTTTAAGAGACAGGTTGCTTTTTTTATTAAATTTCAACTTTGATCAGTATTTGCATCTACGAAATGAAAAACACATGCATTCATTAACCCACACTATTCTCCACTTACACTCAAATTACATTTAACAATGAAAATACTCAATTTAACTCTTTTTTATGATAAAATTTTATTACATAGTATTTAAAAAGGATTCACAGTATTTTTATCACGAGTTTAAAACTACTAATAGGCAACTCTTCAAGAATTTATTTTGGGAGAAAAAAAATCACAATGTTTCAAAATAAATTCAACAAAAAATTAATAAGGTTACGATAGTTAAGAATAATAGACATGAAATACTTGAAGGAAATTACCTTTCCAACTAGCAGGAAACAGATTTATCGCTATATATAGATGAATAATTTTAAAGAAGAATATTTAACACCTCGAAATCATTAAAAATGATGATAAATTATTTAAAAATGCACTTTAAATGAGCTCTCCACTCTTTTCAATTAAGGAATATTGCTTGAAACTTTTACTAATACCTTTAGCCCCCTAATGTAACTGATATAGTTTAATATTAAATTATTCTAAAATTAAACAAAACAATTTTCAATTGCTATAATTTTAAATAATTTTCGTACTCAGAAACAAGAATCTTCAAGCCAAAAATTAATGTGCATGATAGTAATAAGCTATGTGTGCTGCAATTTTAAATAAACTCAAAACTAAATCAAGTAACTTCTATAAATGAGTTATTTCTTTTAAAGTTGTCTTTGATTTATTAACTTTGCACAATAGAACTTTAAGTTCAATTACCTAGTTTATTCAAACTTTTTTAATTACGAAATTTCATTATCATAACTTTGGATTTCATTCATGGAAATGCAATTCTTTTTAACTCGTAGTGGATGTTACTTGAAGTTAATACAGTCTTTTCAAATATTAACTCATTAACTAAATTTAATTAATTTTAGTTTTATATGGGATAAATAAATTTACATTCTGACACTAATATTGTGATTTTGTCACATGTATAAACATATTTACATTAATTGTAATTATTTAATAAAAAGCAACTAAAATAAAAATAAAAAATTTCACCTAAGAAGGAATTTACTTTAAAAATTCTTTTCGTATTACTTGAACAAAAAACTAGTCAGAGTTTTTCAAAACATTTTTACATTAGAGGGCTAATAAATCTTACAAGTTAAAAATTCTTCTTTATGTCAAAGATTAAGAGAGAAAGAAAGGCACAACATTCTCCCACACTGCAAATCAATAAACTCGCCAAAGCCTAAATTGTGCGTTACAGTTATCACCTGTGGCTTGGAAAAAACTACAACAAATCAAAAAAACTCGTTACGGGAGTTACAAAAGTGATGAACAACATTTAAAAGTTGGATGGCACATTACAATTTAAAGACCACAAAGTTGTTTTTTCAGTCTCCCCAGATATAAACCATGCCACTAGCTATGCATCCTGCATAAAAGACTCCTTTTAACATTAGGCTTTAATTTAATAACTCACAGTTGTGGGAAACGTTGAATAGGTTTATGTCTAAACCGTATGAAAGAGAAGTATTTTTACCTATCACAGACATTTACTAAATGAGTTGTACCGCTGCGGCGCCATCCAGCAGCGACCCCAGCAAGTACTAAGCATCAATTGAAAGCAGCTATAGTTTGTGCTGCCTACAGCACCCCCTTACACATTACTCTGCTATAGCTGAATATTTGACATTAAAAATCACCTGCCTCATTAATAAAAAATTTCACTGGGATTGTTCACAATTTGAAATCAAGCTTTATGTTATCACAAAAATCAAAAAGGCCTTATTTAATTAAAGTAATAAAAAAAACTAGCACAAAGACTATTCAGCTATATTCACAATACTGCAAGTAGTCCCCTATAATTGTACAACAAGTGCATATTTATGCAAACAATTGATCCCAAATAGGTTCACACAAAATAAAGTGGCCTACTTGAAGCTGATTTTGGGGTGCGTAGACCAAATGAATAAAACGCTGCCTTACTTTAAATATATGAAACTAAGAATTTTTTAAAGAATATAAATTGTCCAACATGTTTTATTGACTGGAGGACCTATAAAGCTTCTTTTTATCTAATAGAAAATGACTGCTGACAACAAGACTGGAACGTTTACCCATACTCTGTAACAGTTTGTCTGGAATGAGGTGTCTTAAGCTCCACCAACTGTTATTATCTTGAAATAAAGTCAAGTGGATTTCAAAGGTTGCTACAGTATTGGGATCACATTTCACTACACCAACTCTCCTCCGTTCTAGCTTTTTGGCATCCTGTAACAAAAAAATGAAGTTCGATAAATATATAGCCTTATAAAATACTAATTGTAATTATAAATTATTCTTGAATCAAAATAACAAAGATGCATATTTAGAATAGGTCAGAGTATACTATTCCTTAAAATTCTTGTAATGAGATTATTAATTCTAAACCAGAAATAAAAAATAACTTAATATAAATGTATTTAATTTTAAAATAAGAGAATTAGTACATACAGCATTAATAATCTTAAACACCTAATAGTTTGAGTAAAATTAACTATAAAAAAACATTCCTCCTTTAACAAGTTAAATTTTTGATTAAATTTTTAAAAACTAGGTAGCTAAACTGATATATATCACCAAGACAAAAAATAATGCATGAAAAACATAGCAGGAAAATTAAAAATTCAAGAAAATTCACAAAAACATTTTTTTGAGGAATTGAGAAATTATCCTAAGATTTTTTAAATGAATTATTAGTTACTTACTAGTCTAAGAAATTAAAGAGACTTTAGCTGTTTTCTAGCAATCATAGTTTTTGCAATTTTGAAAATCCGTTTTCCAAAAGAAATTAAAAATAACTTCTCTAATTTACTATCTCCTTATAGCACATTTTATTACCCAAACCAAATAATGCCTAATTTTACAGCATAAGATTAGCAGCATTGCATTTTAATCACTATGCTTTATCACAATAAAGTATTTTCAAATAAAACAAGGTAAATTTCTTTTTAAGATGTGTAATTTGCAGTAATAAACTATTTAAAATAAAATATGAATGTAGAATTTTTTCAACAGTAAAAAATTAACCTAAAATCACATACATCAAAAGCTATCTTTACCATAAAAACCCTCAGTGCCTAACTAAACTGAATTGCATTTATTCTTAAAAAATTTAAAACTGGATCTTCAGTAATTGTTAAAAAAAAGAAAGAAAATTAGAGAATTTAGATTAAGGGCTTACCTGAAGATGTATATAGATTAGGCATCCTCTTAGTCCACAAGGTTCATTTTCTGATGCTGTGACCACTTGATCTACTATTCTCCATATGAGGTCATGAGGCAGTAGAACTTCCCCACAATGTAAATGAAGTAGCTTGGCTTCTCTGAGGGCCTGTTCTAAACGCTCCATCAAAGTTTGGCAAGCCAACAACCTCTCTGAAGGTTCATCTTCATCAGTGAAATATAATACACCTTTAGGGGGGAAAACACACCATTAATCATAGAACAAAAGTACATTTGACATTAATATATTACTAGCTACTTAAAGTATAATGTAAAACTAATAGATTTTAAAGAAGCCTTACACACTAAAAACTCAACAGGCTCCTGCAAGTTTCTTTTTTAAATAAATTTTAGTTTTTTTTACCTTACTTTTAGAAAGTTTGTTTTATTATCCCTAATGTGCTGAAATGTGTTGGCAACAAAATGAATCAAATAATTATTAAATTCAACCAGTTCTGGAAGAACAAATTATTTAACTTAAAAATCATATGTTCTGCTTGTTCAAAAACAAAAAACAAAATAATAAGAACATTTTAAAATTTATTAACAGAATATCCATTAGAATTTGACAATCTTCAAAATTTGGTAACCATGGTTTGAAGTAGCTACCTAAAACTAATTGCAATAACAGATTTTAAAAAAAATTTAAAAATCAAGAGTAAAATAAAAATTTCAAAAAAATAAGAATGCAAATATGTTACTAATTTATTCATAATCTGAATTATCTATTATATTAAACGTAAAGTTCAAAAATGTATAAAACATTTAACATTTTAAGTATCAAATTAAAGACATTTTATAAGGTGTATTATATGAATTTATCAAATTATACATTCATATTTTTAGAATTTTTATGTTTTTAATTTGACCTCACTCCATTTTCCATATCAGTAGCACTTTAAAAATAACAAAAACATGTTTTTGTCAAATTGAGAAAGTGTTATACTCATAGTGCATTTGACAAAACACTTAGACCAAATCTGAATTCAGAAGGGAATAACTATTAACAATTAATTCAAAACAAAATTATTCCTAAAGAGCAACAGAAAAAAATCTTATGCGTCAACAATCTAATCCATCAAGTAGAAAAATAGAAGTATCATAACACAAAAGTAACCTTGAAACAAAACGGAAGGCCACAATAACAAAAAAAAATCTTCAGAGATATTAATAAATTTCGACTTGCTGAGAGTTGTCAATTGCTTAGGTTAGATCTAGTTTATACCGGTTTTTTTAGTCTCGTGATTAATGAAAAAATAAAAATTAGAACGATTAATAAACTAGCCTGTATGTTTAAACCTTTTCTTTTATCGGTTTCACAAAACAGAAAAACAATTTTTTTTTAAATGTAAAACGTTTTATAAACTAATGCAAGATATAAAATAATCAATTAAAAATCTGTATATTTAGATGATTTTCATAACGAGTGTTAATTAAAATGGTCATAATTAAAAAAAATTTCTAATTGGTAAATATATCACTAAGTATTTTCATTTACACCGATTAAAACGAAATCTAAAGCAACAGCCTTAAGTTAACACGTAAACTTACGGATCGCGGTCAACTTAATCATTAAATACACCAACAAACGATATTGCTAGAACAAACTACGAAACTTATAATTTGTTACAAAATCTCAGGGAAATAATTCTATAGGGAGAAAATCTCATTCTACTTTTACTGTAAACGAGTTTCGATCGGGACTTGCGCACTACACGTATACAGAATAACTCACTCGGAAAAAGCTGCGAAATTTTATTATCTTAATTGATTATTGCAAATTCAGCTTTTTTTAGACTTAAACATTCAAAATAATCAAAGCTTTTTTATTCAAGTTTTATAAACTAAGTTCATATGAATAAAAATTCGGAGAATAACATTTGATAAAGAAAAAAAATAGGTCAGTACAAAATTATCCACAATTCTTTGAACGACAATTTTAAAACTTTAATGAACTTTAAGAAAAATAAAGATTCTTGAAATAATAAGACTAATAATGATACAAAAAAAATGCCATAGCAATGTATTAAGAAATTTTAAGTAGACCGATCACGTAAATTTCGTAAGTTCATTAGACTTCAAACTTTAATTCATACTAATTTAATAAATATTAAATATAAGCCGATTATAACAATACAGAAAAAACTTAAAACAAAGGGTAATTATCTAATTAAAGGACAACTTAACTGATGGTAAAAGTTAAAAGTATAGCAAACGATTACAATACAAAATAAGCAACAGTTGGACTAAAAAATGTTAAATAAGTGTTTAAACATACAAAGCGTTCATTAATTTAAGTGTCAAAATGAATCTCTTTAACACTTATTATAGAAATTTTAAGTGGCTCATTCCACTATAAGCTTAAACAAACACCATCACTAATTTCTTTTCAGTAAAGAATTGTCAGATTTTCCACAATTAACTAAAAACAATTGAACACAAATTCAAAAAAAAAAAAATTTTAAAAAAAAGACACGGAATGAATAGTTACGGAATTCTTAACACTTACTCTTCTTGCAAAAATTACGGAATCAATAAAAAAAATACGTAATCAATATTAATAGCTCTAAATTAAATAACCAAGATTTCAAATCTACTTAAGTTATTAGTTTTCAATTGAAAAAAAATTTAAAAAACGTTAAAATCCAATGTGATGAACATTAATCGATATATAAATACTATAAGTTTATGAAAAGTGCACTTACTGTTCATGTTGTTTTTTAAAGCTTCTAATGTATCACTATCTTGAGCAAAAAACGGTCGACTCCAGACTAAAGGTGGGTTTGAATTTGGAACTTTCATGTTTTGACTTTTGTTCCACTCGTCACAAATTATATCTCCAAACTTGTCAAATACTCGGCTCAGAGGTACACTCGATGATTTAAGACTGCTTTTATTTAAACTCATAACTTGATGCAAAAAGGCATTCAACAAAACTGAGAAATCACAATTAACACATCGTTGTTTAAATGGAATTGATAATAACCAAAGAACACCGGCAAGCAAGTGAGCTACAACTATGAAAATTATCTATTTCCCTAGTCAACGTTTTAACTTGAAGATACAGAGCCGAATGACAGCTGAAGGAATGGGGTTACCGAATTAAAGGTATTCTTAGTCGGCCAAAGAAAGCAATACTTGTTAACGAATGCGCCAAGTTGGCGGAAAAAACGCAGAAACCCTTGCTGACATTTACTTGCTTGCGTTTGCATCAGATTGTTTTCTTTCGAACCGTGAATATTGCGACAAATGAAAAAAAGTATAATTTGAAAAAAATAATTAATAAACTTTGAATTTTCTTATAGCTCTAACATAGTTTATCCTTGAAATTTTTATAGGTTTTTTTTTTTAAATGAATATGCATGATACTAAACTGAATAATTTACGAACATTTTAATTTAACTTAAATTAAAATGTTAATGAATTATTTAGTAATTTTAACAGTAATGAAAATAAGAGAAAATTGTATGCAAAACAATTTTAAAATTCATGTAAAAATTAAATAAAAACATGCTTTATTTCCCAAATGTTCACTAACATTCTTCATAAAGAGAAATTCATTTCAGCAAAATCATATATTGCAAAAATATAAAAAAATATAATAAATTTTTATCAATAATCATTCTTTAATGATTATTTATTGTTTGATTTCTTTAAAAAATGCGAAATAATTATAAGATTTTCTTTATGTTAAAATAATCTTTTATATTCTAAAGCGAGTGTTTCCAAGAACAACAAAAAAATGAGTATATTAATGAATTTATAAAACGTTTATTTTAATGATTTATTTTAGTAATAAAAATTTATTGCAATGTACCGGGTAAACATCATCTAGCAACCGGCATTTTACAAAACAAAGGAAAATTTAAAATATCAGTTTTAGCCACACGAGCAATTTTACGCCAAATATGAGTGCCATGACACGATAGAAACAGCTGATTTAGAAAAAGGAATAGAGATTGGATGCAAAATCTTCCAATGAGGAGAACGGGTGGTGGTTCTCAGTTGGGCCAATAGAAATCCGGTAGCTCGCCATAGCAACAGAGAACGCTCGACACGAAGGGTGCTATGAAGGTCACACGTGTTCCGTCATAGAAAGTATACCGGCGAACTTAGGTGTTGCACCAAATTTGGCATCTTTTCCCGTTTTGGCTGCAAATATTCACCCAAGAAATAATTCTGACATATTGCATCACTTCCATTATTTTCATTGACTAGCGTTTATCTTTTTTATTCTTTTAACAAGATTAGCGCATCTTTCTAAAGCTTTTTCCCTAGAATTTTAATTACTTTTATGAGTAAAAATATTGATCATTCTTTATGCAATATTATTTTGAAAAAAGTATTGCAGACGGAATATATAGATTGATAAAGACAATTAAGAGTGAAAGAAAAGAGAAAATTTCAAAAGAGAATTATAATAAATATTTATTAAGTTCGATTAATAAATCTTTATTAAAATATATGCAATATCGAAATCAATATTTAAGGAAAAATATTTAGTTATAAATCCATAGCTTAAATTCATTTTTAAGTAAATGAAAGAAATTATTCTATGGTAACAAAAAATAATAATAATAAATATTTTGAACAAAATATTCATAATTTTTTACTCATATATAAAAAGTATGTATTTTAATTTTATAGGTGAATTTTGTCTGCAATATATTCTGCCTCAAACTCTTATGCAATATTTAAACTACTCCCTCACGATCAGTTCAATATTTATTAAGTACCTAGTATTTTCTTACAGAACTTCTGGGAAATTTCAGTACCAGAAAAAAATCTGACCTACAATTTAATTTAGTTCATAATAAACTTTAATTTAATGCATTCATAACTTAACATATACTATCCATAAACTTAAACACATTCAGACCATAGTGGGCTTACATATTACTTTCAAAATCTTACCTCCAACATGCTGCGAACATAATTTTTAAATTAAAAATTATCTACTTTAAGAAATATAATTCTGTTCTTAAATAATTGTTCTGTTTTATTTTGAAATTTGAAAAACTTTCTTATTCGATATGCCGCAAACAGATAGTTTAAGGTCATATTTTATTTATTACTTAATTGTTGCAACAAAAAAAACTAGTCAAACCATTAACTGGCGATAATTAGTTAATAAGATCTGATGCAAACCCAACCATCATTAGATCGATGGATACCAGATTGCTGGAAGGTAAGAAGGCGGCCGGTGCGCAATTGCAATCACCAATTTATCTAAACAACCAAAATCAATCTAATCGCTTAATTAATCTAAACAACCAAAATAATCAACATAAATGTATCTTATTTTTAATTGGTGTCTCAAGATCTTAAACATTCTCTTCTTTTTTTTCTTTTTTTTTTCGTAATTTGAAGTTTTATAGCAGTTCAAGGCCGAAATTTGTGGGGGGCAATTATCTGTAAAAAAATTTTTAAAAAAAATCTATAACCATTTTAAAAACAAACTGGCATTATTATTTTCATCCCCAAGGAAAAGAACTGTAAAACTGAAATCTTAACCTCAAAATGCAATTAATTAATTAAATTCTCATTAAAGATTGTACATTTATAACAAACAAATAGAAATTTTCAGAAAATGTTTTAATAATTTTCAATGCATAATGCCGTCATTATAACTATACATTTAAATCGTGATCATGAAATTTCTCTTTAAGCCCAAGGTCCGCAGAGTAAATCTCGTTTAAATCTTGAAATAACGAAAGCAAAAGAAAGAAATTTCCTGGTTTCGGTTAAACTTGGCGTGGCATGGCGAAAAAAATAATCTCCAAAACTGTAACCCTCCTAACGAAAGGACCGGTCTCGTCGCTTGGCAACAGACGCAGAACAGACTCTTCAACTTTTAACTTTATGAATTAATTCTTTCTCTTTATCTCTACTATGAAAAAAAAATTCTTTTATGTTTTTGATCTTTACTTATCCTTGCTTTTTTTTTTCTCCCTCTAGAGTTGAAAGAGGAACAATGGAAAAGTGATAAACGTAGATTGTACCCCTTAATTAAAGTTTGCAATTCTTATGCTTTTAATGAATAGGTAAGAATTCGTAGGCTGTGTAGAATAGAAATTATGAGTGTCTAATAGCTCGGAAAAGAACTCGCGGAATTGAGGGGGAAAATACTTATTGTGTCATTGGAAAATAAGTGAATCATTATCGAATCAAAATATTCCAATAGTAATTAAGGCTAATTACTAAATATAATGTTTGAAAGCAAAAATTTTAATGCCACTAGAGCATCCCCCACCCCATTATGTTTTAAAATTATACTTATATGCAATTAACAGGGCTGATTGCGCTCCGGAAAAAAATCCGGATTTTTCGCTAACCTTGATCCGGAAGTTTCCGGAGATCGAAGGTTCAGACGTTTAAAAAAATCATTGATCACAAAAGTTTCTGGAAATCAAATTTTCAAAGGTGGAACTTAAAAACACAGTTTATTTTATTTGTTTGTACGGGAGAGCCAGAGAGATACTTTATAAGCTTATATTCAAGATTAATATTCATTTTTTATCAGTAAAAAGTTATTATAATCATAAACTCAAGAAAGAAAGACATATTTGTAAATTTCAATTACTTCTCCAGGTCTTCATAGATATGTGCAAATGGTATAGGTATGTGTAAAATTATTAAATATATTTTAATTAAACTAAGAAATATTGAGGAAAAGGAAAAAACCTTGTTTAAATTTTTTTGTAATTTTTCGATTTAATTTTTTTTTTACTCAAGAAATTTTCTGGAATTTTGACTTGGGCTCACAATCACCCCTGAATTAAGCATCATTTTGTATTAAATATAATGTTTTAAAACAAAAAATTTTAAGGAATTTAATACCAATAGAGCATCATTTATACCAAATGTAATGTTATAAGTCAAAAAGCTTTATATATTTAATGCCATTAAAGCATTATTATCACTAAATGTAATATTTTAAAACAGAAAATTTTATATATTTAATGCCATTAGAGCATCATTGTAACTAAATATTAATAATTTAAAATAATGCTTGAATAAATTTAAGGCCAATACAGCATTATTATTAGGAAATATATAATTTTAAAACAAACATTTTAATGCCAATAAAGCATCGTCATTACTAAATGTATTGTTTCAAAATAAAAATTTTAATGAATAAAATGCCACTAGAGTATCATTATAACTTAGTATTAATGTATATTAAGTTAATGCTTGAATGAATTTAATGCCAATAAAGCAACACATTTTTAACCGGTAACCGGAAAAAACAAGCAAATGAAGGATGGAACAGCAGGAAGACAGGGATTATATGCATTCGTAAAAAAACTACGAAATACAAATAAATAATAAAATACAGCACAGCAACAAATTTTAAATTCAAGGTTTATTTTGATGTTTAAAATTTATAATAAAATAATTTTTAATATTGTTAATTATAAAGTACCGATTATCTAATATTTAAGTACCGATTATAATAATCTTGATTATTTTAAAGTTTTTCAGAAACACATATGTAATGACTTCATCTCAGAACAAATGTGGACGTATCTCTTATCTTGTTAATATTTAGCCCTGTTCTTTTTTTTTTATTTATTTTTTTTTTTTCTCATTCAAAACTAAGTAGAAGGAGCAAATTTGAAATCCGCAGTTACTAGCTGCTTTGGTTTGAATTCATTTTAATCTCTAATGATATCAGTTAAAAATTAAAAGCGTAATATTTTTAATATCGCGTAAAATTAAGTGATGATAATAGTCTTTCTTCGTCAAAATTACTTCGAAAAAAAATTTGTCTTTTATTAAGCTTTTAACTTTTGTTTTTATCTATTAGATACTTCACATTTTCTAGCTTAATATTTTTCTTTTCAAAATTTAACTTTTGCTATTAAAAAATTAGTGTGATTCAGATTAATGCTACAGAAGACAGTAAGTCCCATGTGTGCAAATCGTGTAAGCGTAGGGACAATGTCTAAAGTTAGTGAAGGGTGTCCCACTGGCCGCCGCAAGTAGCTAGTAACTATATATAATGAAACGGAATTTTTTTCGAAACAATTATTATTAAATCTTTTACAAGGCATAAAATAAAAGCTTAATGCACAGTTTTTTTTATTTTATTTTTTTTAATTGAGTTAAAAATAAAACATGAATAA